TGTCGCCCAGACTGGAGTGCAGTGGCCGCTCCCGGCCACCGCAGCCTCGACCTGCTGGGCTCCAGCAATCCTTCCACCTTAGCCTTCCAAGTGGTTGGAACTACAGGCGCGCGCTACCATGCCTGGCTAATTTTTTTTTGATTTATTGTAGAGATGAGGTCTCACCAAGTTGCCCAGGCAGGTCTCAAAAACACGGGCTCAGGCAATTCACTGACCTCGGCCTCCCAAAGTGCGGGATGACAGGCTGAGCCACCGAGCCCGGCTTTTTTTTTTTTTAATATATATTTTTTTGAGTTGGAGTCTCACTCTGTTACCCAGACTGGAGTGCAGTGGCACGCTTCCAGCCACTGCAGACTCGACCTGCCAGGCTCCGGCGATCCTTCCGCCTCAGTCTTCCAAGTAGCTGGAACTACAGGCATGTGCTACCATGCCCGGCTAATTTTTGATTTATTGTAGAGATGAGGTCTTGCCAAGTTGCCCGGGTAGGTCTTGAACCCACAGACTCAGGCAATCCACTCGCCTCAGTCTCCCAAAGTGCTGGGATTACAGACTGAGCCACCGAGCCCAGCCTAAAAATTTTTTTTTTAAGATGTGAAATACCATTCAAGTTTAAGTATACAATTATTCATTATGCAGGTACCCTTGAGAAATGTACTTCTTAAATAAAAAGACTTGAAAGTTGAAATTACTCCTTGATCCATGGGCTACAGAATGGATTCTGTGTTCGCAGGCATGAGCACAACATGAATGTCCTTGAGCGTCTCCATCAGAGTTCTTGGGTGACTAGGCACATTGTCAATGAGCAGTAAAATTTTGAAAGGAATCTTTTTTACTGAGCAGTAGGTCTCAACGGTGTGCTTAAAATATTCAATAAAAACCATGCTGTAAACAGATACGCTGTCATCAAGGTTTTTTGTTGTTTTTGTTTTGTTTTGTTTTTGAGTTGGAGTTTCACTCCGTCGCCCAGACTGGAGTGCAGTGGCCAGAGCGGCCACTACAGCCTCGACCCACTGAACTCTGGCGATCCTTCCACCTCAGCCTTACGAGTAGCCGGAATTACAGGCATACGCTACCATGCCCGGCTGATTTTTGATTTATTGTAGAGATGAGGTCTTGCTGCCCAGACGGGTCTCGAACCCGCGGGCTCAGGCAATCCACTCACCTCAGCCTCCCAAAGGCGCGGGATTACAGGCTGAGCCACCGAGCCCGGCTTCATCAAGGTTTTGCGGTTCCATTGATAGAGATTTAGCATCATTCTAATAACCCTCCAAGTTTTTGAATAGTCAATGAACACTGATTCCAATTTGAAGTCACCAACTCCCTAACAAAAGAGTCAGCCTTTGCAGCTTTGAAACTGGGCATTGACTTTTCCTTTCTAGCTATGGAAGTTCTAGATGGCATCTTCTAATAGAAAGCTGTTTTGTCTACAAGAAAAGCTTTGAAGCTTTGAAGAAAGTTTTGAAGCTAGGCATTGACTTTTCCTCTCTAGCTATGGAAGTTCTAGATGGCATCTTCTAATAGAAAACTGTTTTGTCTACAGGGAAAATGTGTTGTTTAGTGTAGCCACCTTCATCAGTGATAACTTGCTGCAGCTTCTCCATCAGCATTTGTTATGTTATGGGCATGATGACTTTCCTGTAGCTTCCTTATCTCTCTTGGCCTTCATAGAATTGGAGAGAGTTAGGGCCATGTCCTAGATTAGGCTTTGGCTTGAGGGAATGTCATGACTGGTTTGATTTTTCTCTCCAGACCACTAAAACTTTCTCCCTAACAGCAATAAGGCTATTTTACCTTTTTGTCATCTGTGTATTCACTGGAGTAGCACTTTTAATTTCCTTCAAGAACTTTTCCTTTGTATTCACAGCTTGGCTAACGCTTTGGTATGAGAGGCCTGGATTTCAACATGCCTTCTTCACTAAGTTTGATCCTTTCTAACTCTTGGTTTTTTTTTTTGGTCAGGATCTCACTCTGTCTCCCAGGCTGGAGCACAGTGGCACAATCACAGCTCACTGCAGCCTTAAACTCCTTCCTGGGCTCAGGCGATCCTTTTGCCTCAACCTCCCTAGTAGCAGGGACTACAGGTTCCTTTATGTCCAGCTAATTTTTTGCTTCTTTTTTGTAGAGACAAGGTCTCGCCATGTTGCCCAGGCAGGTTGCGAACTCCTGGGCTCAAGCGGGTCTCCTGTTTCAGCCTCCCAAAATGCTGGGATTACAGGCATGAGCCACTGTGCCCAGCTATCTCTAACTTTAAATCAAAAGCTAGGGCCGAGCATGGTGGCGCATGGCTGTAATCCCAACACTTTGGGAGGCTGAGGTAGGAGGATTGCTTGAGCCCAGGAGGTCAAGACTGGTGAGCCACAGGTATGCTACTGCACTCAAGCCTGGGTGATAGAGAGAATTTGATTTAAAAAAAAAAAAAAATAGATGCAAGACTTTCTTTTCACTTGCACACTTAGAGGCTATTGTAGGGTTATTAATTGGCCTAACTTCATTATTATTGTGTCTCAGGGGAACCTGAAGAGAGGGAGAGAGACAGGAGAATGGTTGATCAGAGGAGCAGTCAGAACACACACAACATTTGTGAATCAAGCTTGCTTTTTTTTTTTTTTTGAGTTAGAGTGTCACTCTGTCACCTAGACTGGAGTGCAGTGGCATGCCCACGGCCCCCCAGCCTCGATCTGCTGGGCTCTGGCGATCCTTTCGCCTCAGCCATCCAAGCAGCTTGAACTACAGGTGCACACAACCATGCCTGGCTAATTTTTTGATTTATTGTAGAGACGAGATCTCACCAACTTGTCCAGGCTGGCCTTGAACTCCTGGGCTCAAGCAATCCTCTCACTTCCACCTCCCAAAGTGCTGGGATTACAGGTGTGATCCACCATGCCCATCCCATTTGCTGTCTTATTTGGGTGCAGTTCACGGTGCCCCAAAACAAGTACAAGAGTAGCATTAAAAATTGCTCATCACAGATCACCATAGCGGATATAATAATAATGAAAGCGTTAGAAATATTGTGAGAATTACCAAAATGTGACACAGAGACATGAAGTGAGACATCTGTTGGGAAATAGCACGATAGACTTGCTGGGTACAGAATTGACACAATTCTTCAATTAAAAAAAAAACCCACAGTATCTGCAACAGGCACTAAAATGAGGTATGCCTATATTAGGAAGTCAGAATACAAGGGGAAGGAGAACGGGTCATGGAACTTGTGGGTGCCACATGAAGCTCTGGTCAATGGGGTATCTGGACTAAAAGCAAAAGAGAGGGTGTTGCCAGCTGCAGCAGTTCACGCCTGTAATCCCAGCACTTTGGGAGGCCAAGGTAGGAGGATCTCTTGAACCCAGGAGCTCAAGACTAGCCTAGGCAATTTAGTGAGAACTCATCTCTACAAAAATTAAAATTGGCCGGGCTCGGTGGCTCAGTCTATAATCCCAGCACTTTGGGAAGCCAAGGTGAGTGAATTCCCTGAGCCCGTGGGTTCAAGACCAGCCTGGGCAACTTGGTGAGACTTTGTCTCTACAATAAATCAAAAATTGGCCAGGTATGGTAGTGCACACCTATAGTTCCAGCTACTTGGAAGGTTGAAGTGGAGGCATCGCCGGAACCCAGCAAGTCGACGCTGGGGTGGCCATGAGCATACCACTGCACTCCAGCCTGAGCAGTGGAGTGAGATTCCAACTCAAAAAAAAAATTTTAATTAAAATTTAAAAATTAGCCAAATGTGGTAGCGCATGCCTGTGGTTCCAGCTATTTATTGTAGAGACGATAAACCCAGCAATTCGAGGCTGCAGTGAGCTGTGATCGTGCCATTGCACTCCAGCCTGGGTGACAGATGAGATCCCAACTCAGAATTTAAAAAAGGAGGGGTCGGGCGCGGTGGCTCAGGCCTGTAATTCCAGCACTTTGGGAGGGAGAGGCAAGAGGATTGCCTGAGCCCAGGAGTTCAAGGCCAGCCTGAGCAACTTGGCGAGACCTCATCTTTATAGTAAATCAATAAATTATCTGGGCATGGTGGTGTGCGCCCGTGGTTCCAGCTACTTGGAAGGCTGAGGTGGAAGGATCACCTGAGCCCAGCAGGTTGAGGCTGCGGTAGCTGTGATTATGCTACTGCACTCCAGCCTGGGCGACAGAGTAGGAGGCCAACACACACAAAAAAATAGGAGCCAGGCTCGGTGGCTCAGCCTGTAATCCCACGCCTTTGGGAGGCTGAGGTGAGTGGATTGCCTGAGCCCGCGGGTTTAAGACCC